GCACAGAGGTAAGGCTGACTGGTCTGTAGTTCCCCGGGTTGTCCTTGGTCCCTTTTTTAAAGATGGGGGTTATGTTTGCCGTTTTCCAGTCTGTGGAAACCTCACCAGACTGCCAGGAGTTTGTCACTCATTTTTCTTTTTTCTCTTATGCAACTGTAAAATCCTTTTCTATTATTTCCAATGTCACTGGCCAGATTTGACTCTGTCAGGGCTTTAGCTTTTCTAACCTGGTTTCTTTAGAAAGAAAGAATCAGGCAAGATAAGGAAGTGTTAAATCTGCTGCAGAGGTGACTGAGGGACGCTGTGCCACAACATGAGGCCACTGCCTAGATTATGTTGGGAAGGGCTTGAAAACAGTAGATGGAAGACAAAACAGCTGAACAGTAGGGAAGGGCAGAAGCTCAAAACGGGAGGCATTCTTCAAGGGGCTCAAACCTGTGCCAGGTTGGGGTGAAGGACAGAGCAAACTCTGGGATTGACAAGGATTAGGGCTGGGCTGGCCACTAAATGCTGACAGGTGATCTCTAATCCTTCTCCCTCCCCAAAGGGGAAAGGAAAAGGGAATGAGGCAGAGAGACTTAGGGATTGGAAAACTAAACACGTTAATAAAACAATAATAGTACTGATAAGGGAATAGTGAAAATAATTAAATATATACAAATACATGCAAAACTGATATTGAACCTGACTCCCCGTCCCAATAGCAATCCCCATTGATGCTGCAGAGCAAGCAGGCACAGGGCAAGTCCCAGGCTCAGCAGCAGAGGGGAATCAGATACGGGAGCTGGATTTTCCGGAACTCAGGGTCAGGATCAAAGGCAGAAGATTGGACAGAATCCTTCTGAGATGCCAGTAGTTGAAGAAGAGGGCTTAACCGCTGTGATCCCTTGGTTTTATACTGAATATGATGTGCATGTAATGGAGTACTCTTGTTGGTCCCCTGACCTGTCTGTTCCTCACCAGAGGTGCGACCATTTACTTCCTTGGGAGCCTTTTATTTCCTGACGCCCCAGTGTGGTACGCAGGATTTGGCAGTGACCTTGACTGTAGGAGCAAGCAATGAGCAAGATCCTTTCTGCACGCCAATCATTGGTAGTAACTATAAACATCAGACATTACCACTTCTGAAAGCAGACACTGGCTGCACAAACATGCTACTAACTTCGGGAAGTGCAGTCTCTTTAAGGGACCTACCTGAAAGGTAAAATCACTAAGCAGAATAGATCCTGTTTAGCTCAAGCCAGGACCGGGGTGGCTTCACTATTTGTGAAGAATCCATGTAGTGTCTGCAACAAAGTCCTGTCTTGTAAACCTTCAGAAAGTTACTAGAAGATGTTACAAGCATAGAGGGAAGGTAACTTGGCCAACGCAATCTTCTTGGGTTTTGAAAAAGCTCTTTGGGAAGCTGAGTGGCACTAGGACGTGAGTGAAGATCTTGGCACGGATGAAGTGCTGGATAAAAGTTGTGAACAGGATGGGAGTAGTTGGTGAGTCTTCACAATCAGCAGTGGAGCTCTGCCCACATCTGCACTGGGAGCTCAAGAAGTGACCTGGGAAAGGGGGTGGATGGTGATGTGATGATTTGTTGATAACTAAGTTATTAAAGCTAAGAGAAAAGAGAGACAGACTGTCCTTGGACGAGAGAAGAGCTTTAATGAGAGCAAGTGATCAGTAAAATGGCAGGTAAAATTCACTATAGTTAGTTTTACATGGAAAACTGTGATTTCAAGCTGATTGTCCCCAGTCAGTGTCAAGAATCAGGTTTTATGTCAATGGCGTCATGAAAACTTGGGCCCTGTTCTCCATAAATGACAAAAATCAGATCATATTTTCAGAAACAAACTTGAGATTGGGTGCTGGTGCTGTGCAGATCTGTGTCTTGCCACAGCTTGAATATCATGCCAAGTTCTGGTCTCCCCATCGCAAAACCATAAAGCTGAACTGGAAAAATTCAGAGGAGGGCACTGGGGAAGATGAAGGGTTTAGACCAGTTTCTGTGAGGCGAACAGTCCAACAGGCTCTTCAGGTTGAAAAATAGAGAACTTTAGATCCTGTAAACCTCTATGAAACTCTCCCTGAGTGGCCAGCAGAGAGTGGAAAGTGTTTACTTTTCTCAGTGCTGGCATGAGGCTTGGAACTGACAGGTAAAGCTACTGGGAACAGGCAAGCTAAAGGACATGGTTCCTTGTGTAAGTAAGCATATTTAGAGGAGAAACCTACTGTTATGAAACCACATCTAACTGGGCAAATCCCCTTTTGGTGGGACTGGTAGGTGACTGGAAAAGTACTGAGGGGAGAGGGTTATATGTGCTTACTTTGATCTTACTCTTTCTGCAGCAGCCTCTTTTGGTCATGTTTGGAGACAAAGCCATGGGCTAAATGGACTCGATCTGAACCAGTATAACCATTCTTACAGCTGTGGCTGTTTTGGCTGAGCTTAATGGCCAAAATGAGGTCTAGCCTCTGTTTCTGCCCAGCACTGGAGGTTCTGGACACTGAGGCAGTCTTCGCTGACTTGTTAAAAATACTGTTTTCCTTCTGCGTGCTCTTTTTGTTCACTCTGACAGTCTGGTTGTATCCCACAAATTCTTCACTCGAATCTATGGAGTTAACGTTTGCAAAAATGAGGGGATTGGAAGTGAGAGAGTTTCTGAAACTGAAGGCAATTGGAAGAAGAAGGGTGGAAGGAAGAGAGCTGGGAAGTTCCTTTTTGTGGGAGGAAAACACAGACTTGCTTCTTTTTTGTGGGTATTTTTAGGATAAACTTTTAGAAAACAAGCTAAGCGTTTTGGGTATTTGCATTGCGTTAAGTTGACATTACTCATCAGCTGTTCCTTTCTGTCCAAGTAAAGCCTTAGGAGTGGGTCAGTGTGGGGGTAAGTACAGCCTTGGCCAGCTGCTCTGCAGCTCATCTTCTGGACATGATCCTTAGGAGCTCTTACTCCTCAGCAGATGTGCTGTAGCTCTTGAGATGCAGAACAATGTCGGAGAACTTCATGGGACTTTCAGATCCACATATAGGATGTGTCAGGGAGCACTGTGGCGTTGCCATGTCCTGGCAGGTGGCCTCAGGTTCTAGCATGATGTTCAAAGCTTATAGCTCTGGTTTTGGCGTGCTGCTTTTAAAGACTAACACTCTTACTGCTGAAGCCGGATGTATTTGCTGTCCATCTTATTCTCCTATCCCACCTTTTAGACTCTCCCCTCCCTTTTCTCACTTACTGCAATGCTTACATTACCATTCCACCTTCTCTTCCCTTTGTCTGACTGTTCTGCCTGCTCTCCTACCAGGACGCAGTGTTTTTTCCGCATTATAATCTCCACCACTTGACTATTATCAGGTTTTTGTCTTTTTCTCTCTGCCGTTCTGTACTTGCAGGACAGATGCTCCTGCTGTTTGGCTATGCCTGCCACAACCCTTATTCCTGGTTTTGTCCATAGTACGTGGAGCGTAGGAGTTCGTCTGCTCTGCATCCGCATCCTTACCCTTTATTTCAGCTCTTCAGGTGTTCTCCCTGCTCCAAGCTACACTTTCTGAGGACCATGCCCAGGGAATCCCAGTGGTGGGACGTTGCAGCACCAGGAGGTGGCACTGCCTGTTACCAGCAATATTCAGGCTGCTGTTCAAGGCTCACCAGTCACCTCTCTATTTTGGAGAACTGTGCCAAATGTTTGCTTTGTAAACAGTGTCTGGGCCTCAGCTTGCCCCCGCCCCTCACCTTCTACCTTCCTCTTGCACTTTGAGCCTGTGCAGCGCCGAGTTGAACAGTTTCCTGAGCTGGCCCCTACATTTGTTGCGCCGTTCCTCCGAGACGCTTTGTTCTCCCTGTCTTGGCCTCTTCCATGGCTCTCCCGTCCCTTCTAGCATAGGTTGCTGAGCCGTGACATCCACTGTTTCAGCTTCTCTGGTCCCTTGGCCTCGCCTCTTTCAGGCAAGGCTCTCCTGCCCCCCTCACCTCCTGGAGAGAAGCAATAAACAGCCATTTTTCCATGCCAGGGAGACCTCAGGGAGACCTATTTTGAATGTGTCCTGAATGTGTCTCTGAGAAACAATCACTTTGATCTCCTTTTGACTGTGAATTGCCTGTGGCAAGCTTTGAGGAAGTGAACGTTGCCCTGGGTCCCACAGCCATCGGTGTTGCAACCACTGCAGGCTGTGTGCTGTGTGGTCTATCTCACAGGTTGATTGCGTTAGTTTGTGCGGGGACACCAGTGGAGCCACAGAGGAGAAAGTACAGATGGCCTTTGTCCAAGCCCAGCAATATCATCCATGTGTGCTCCTGCTAGCAGAGACCGGGACAGGCTAGGAGAGGATGCCAGGGTCATCGCTACTCTGAGGCAGCTCCTCCTGGACAGAGACCCAGCACTGAGGTATGTGGACCTTGCACGCTTGCTGTGGACATCTGAGGTGATTGTTTGCTTCTGCCATTCCTAGGGCAGCAGTCACCATTACATCAAGGTGACTGATTGCTAACGTGCCCTGTTTTATTTTTAATCTGGTGGAGCCTGTCCCAGATTTGCTTTGTTTACTTCAGAGCACCTTTGTTCTTCCAGCTTAGTGTCAGGGGGAAGCTTCAGTGTCTAAAGCTGTTTTCTGAGTTGTTCAAATGAGCCATCCTGGTGTGTTTCCATGCCAAAGGTCGCAGGGACACTGGAAGGGAGCTGCACTCTGGGATAATGTTGAGGCTGATGACAAGTACCAGAGTGCAGGGAGGGAAACATCAGGTGAAGAAAAAAGATGTCATTTAAGGGCCTTGACTTTTTGCTACAAAGTTCGCAAAGCAGTTCATGGGAAAGCTGGAGGAGAATGACTGCAAGACCCTTTGGCCAATATGAGCGCGCTTCTCAGAAGAAAGAGTAGCCATTAGAGAGTGACTTGGCACGGATGATGGCAGTGTAAGAGTGAGGCTTCCACAGAGCTGAGACCATGCACCGTCCCCCTTTTATTAACAGCCACCCTGTCCTGGTGATCGGCACCACCTGCAAGCCCCAGGATATTCCTACAGATGTGCAGAGCGCTTTCCTTCACGAGGTGAAAATTGAAGCCCCGTCAGAAGAGCAGAGGAGGTCGATGCTGAGCGTGCTAACTGCCAGTCTACCTCTGGGCAAAGAAGTGAGCCTGTCCAAGCTGGCCCGCAGGACTGCAGTGAGTGAAACCATGGCAGCGTGTGGAGATGGGCAGCCTGGGAGTGCTGAGCCAACCTCCCCTGCCTGGCCATGGAGAAAGGGGGAAATTCCCACAGCCCAGTCAACTTCTTCATTGGCTAACCCTGGCCTTTAGACATCAGCTTTGACTGCAGATCTCTAGTGCTTAAGGACTGACAGCTTTTGCAGAGGCATTGGCTGATGCTTGTCTCTGCTAGAAGATAGAGCCAATAGGATAAAAAGAAGCTAGACCCTTTAACCAGAGCACAGAATTCAAAAAACAGCTCTACAAGGAATTTTTCCCCACACACCTCTTAGGACCTAGCAGGAGTAATGGTCAGGGACCAAACTGATGCTGTTTGTTTCTGCATTTACAGGGCTTTGTGTTGGGAGATTTCTGTGCCTTGTTGTCCCACAGTAGTCGGGCTGCCTGTACCCGCATCCAGGCCTTGAGGTAGCACTGGGCCGGGGAGGGCAGGGGCTGATAATGCCAGGAGTGCGATGGGGCCTGACTCCTTCTCTTCTCTTTCCTCACCAGTTTTCCAGGTGGACTGAGCGAGGAAGTGGAGAGAGATTTTTGTACTGCTGGGTTCCCCATGCTTGAGGAGGATTTTAATGTTGCACTGGACCAGCTGCATGATGCCCATTCGCAGGCAGTGGGAGCCCCAAAGGTAGGATCCTGTGGCGGAGGAGTGGGGGTTGGTTCTCTGTAGCTGTGCAGCTCAAGATACCTCTTGCAGACCTCTCCAGGCAGGGCTGTGTTCTGGCACATCACTTCCTGCTGTGTCCTTCCATGCATTCACCCAAACCGTGGGTGGGAAGCAGTCCCACTGTGGGCTTTCCCCTGTAAGTGCTTTTCACAGAGTCATTGGAGTTGGAAGGGACCTCTAGAGATCATCTAGTCCAACCCTGCTGCCAGAGCAGGATCACCTACAGCAAGTTGCACAGAAATGCATCCAGGTGAGTTTTGAAAATCTCCAAGGACAGAGACTCCACAACCTCTCTGAGCAGCGTGTTCCAGTGCTCTGTCACCCTCACAGTAAAGAAGTTTTTGTCATGTTTAGATGAAACTTCCTGTGTTCCAGCTTGTGCCCATTGCCTCTTGTCCTGACACTGGGCACTACTGAGAAGAGTCTGGCTCCATCCTCCCTGCACCCACCCTTGAGATATTTATAGACATCGATAAGGTCTTCTCTCAGCCTTCTCTTCTCCAGGCTAAATGGTCCCGGCTCTCTCAACCTGTCCTTCTAAGAGAGATGCTCCAGTCCCCGAGTCATCTTTGTTACCCTCTGCTGGACTCTCTCCAGTAGTTCCCTGTCTCTCTTGAACTGGGGAGCACAGAACTAGACACACTATTCCCAGATGTGGCCTCACCAGGGCAGAGTAGAGGGGAAATATGACCTACTCGTCACACTCTTGTTAATGCAGTCCAGGAGACCATTGGCCTTCTTGGCAACAAGGGCACATTGCTGGTTCATGGTTAACTTACTGTCTACCAGGACTCCAAGATCCTCCTCCTCAGGGCTGCTTTCCAGCAGGTCTGCCCCTAACGTATACTGGTTGTTCCTCCGCAGGTGCAGGACCCTACATTTGCTTTTATTGAACCTCATTAGGTTCCTCTCTGCCAAGCACTCCAGCCTGTCCAGGTCATGCTGGATGGCTGCACAGCCCTTTGGTGTGTCAGTCACACCTCCCAGTTTTGTACCATCAGGAAACTTGCAGATACACTCTGTCCCCTTGTCTAGGTCAGTGAATATGTCGAATAAGATTGGACCCAGTACTGACCCTTGGGGAACACCACTGGTTACAGGCCCAGACCCTGCACCAGAACCCTCTGGGCTCTGTCACTCACCCAGCTCTCAACTCACCTCACTGTCCACTCATCTGACCCCCACTCCCTGAGTTTCCTAATGAGAACGTTATGGGAGACTGTCAAAAGCCTTGCTGTAGTCAAGGTAGATGTCATCCACCTTGATTCACCCTCTTGGCTTTGAACTTGGCCAGGGAAGCCCTTGGCCACTTTAGTTAGAGACAGCTCAGTTGGCCAGTGCCATGGGGGTGCCAGCGATGTGCAGCTCAGCCTTTAAAGAAATGAAAACAGCTGCAGGCGGGCTGCCTTGCCCAGGTCTCTCCAGCCACCTGTCATATGCGAACAGAGAGGCTGGGGGAGTTTGCGTGAATGTGTGAGAAACCTTATATTTGATCCCTGGCCTTGGGCACTACTTGGGCTGGCATGGGCTTTTCTGACAGCCAGGCAGTTTGAAGATCTGGGGGTTCTTTAGGGAAAGGAATATGGGGTGTCAGAGAAAACCAGTGGAATCAGTTTCTTGGGAGGAGCTTAATTCGCCTCTGGCAGCTCAATACCCAGGGAAACAGCATTTGGGTGGACGTTTTTGCTGGGCGACATAGTGTTAGGATGAAGCAAAGTGATTGGAGCCTCTTTTCACACCCTTGTGTGTAAATAACTGAGCTCAGCCCAGGACAGGAAACTCTGGCCTTGGAGTGGTTATCCTGGCACCTTCCCCAACCTGCAGTTGCAGGATGATGCCTTGCTGGTGTCATCATCCAGGAGCTACTCTGGGACTTGATTCATTCATAGGTTTACTAGAGACTGAAATGAGCTCTGCTTTGAAATGTGTTTGCCAAAATGGCTATGAGACAAAGAGTAACCATAGAGTATGTTTGACAGTTAGCTGTGTGAATGTGAGCTAATTTTGTTTGTATTTCACAATCATTTATCAATTTCTTAGTAATTGGCTGTGGTTCAGAAAGCCCATTAGCAGACCTGGATACTCTCAACACACATAACTTTCAACTCCTTACTTGGTGTTTTCTAGTTAGTCACACATTTGCTTGCAGTTACAGCTTAACCTTCTGAGAACTAATTTCAAACCTCCAGTTAGCAGCAGTGCCTGCAACATGTCCTAAACTTACGATGTTCTCACCTGAAAACAACCTTGTCACAGTTTTCGAGCTCCCCTGATGATGTCTGTAGAGCTTTTTCTAGTGAAGCAGTATAAGCAAGAGTGCAGGGGAGAGGGCAACGCTTCCAGTCATTGGCATTGAAGAGGGGACCTTTTCCTTTTAAAAGTTTTTTTCTGGAAATCCTTATCTTGTCTGACCTGATTTTCATGGTGGACTTGCTGGACAGCTGGAGAAATAGCATGAGATAACATCATCTCAAGTAACGAAGTACAGCCAAATTGGCTGAGGGGAAAACAATTTTGCTCCGGCCTATTTTTAAACTCCCCGCTTGTGCTGGCACCTGTTCCCCACTGAGCCAGCAGCGGGGAGTGGGGACGGGGGAAAATATTTTAGATCTTCGTTTTCTCTGCATGTTCCCAGGAGAGCTGCTCTGACTCTCAGGAGGATCTGTCATGCAGACTGTG